TTTCTCATGTAGGGTACAACCCTACGCTACGTCATGCATTGTAATCTAGAAAGAAAAGATTCTCCAAGTAAAATCTGCACATGGGATCTAGCACAAATAACTGCAAGGAACACTTGAGCCAATGGGGCAGGTGGGAGCAGTCTTGGCAAACGACGTCATTCCGATTTTCGGTATTTGCATACAGCCATTGCGATAAGGCCAGGCAGGCATTACGATAGACCACAATGGAATGCATCTCTACTATCTTCTCAATCGAGATACCATTGTGATAGCTACCCGCTGTGATGTATGACAAGGCGCTATCTACGAGAGAATCTTACCAATAATAAATTTGGTAATTTAGCAGTTTGCTGATTTGGTAAAACTCCACTGTCTATTCGCTAACCCAAATACTAAAATCTGGCCTTGCAGTATGGTGAACTTCAAACCTCTGTCCCTTGTAGCAATTTTGGGCTGTGTCACGTCAGCATTGAACATGCCTTTCGACGCACGGGAGGCAACCATCGGCTCGGTTCATCATGCACTCTACTCTGGGCTGTCAACATGTCGGGAAGTTGTATCTTCGTTCCTGGCGAATATTGAAGCTCACAACCACCGGACCAACGCTATCATCACATTAAATCCTAAAGCATTAACAATAGCCGATGAGATGGACCAGGAGCTCTCAGCTGGCAATGCAACTAGGCCTCTTTTCTGTATCCCAATACTGCTCAAAGACAACTTCGACACAGCAGACATGCCCACTACGGGTGCTAGTCTTGCCTTGGCCCACTCTCAACCTACAATAGATGCCCCGAGTGTAACAGCATTGAAGAATGCGGGGGCTATTATTCTGGGAAAGGTCAATTTACACGAACTTGCACTCGAAGGTCTTAGTGTCTCCTCATTCGGAGGCCAAACCATCAACCCATATGACCCTACTCGCACACCTGGGGGCAGCTCTGGGGGTACTGGAGCAGCAGTTGCTGCTTCTTTCAGTGTATTAGGTACCGGAACAGATACCGTAAATTCACTTCGCAGTCCAGCCTCTGCCAATTCGCTATGCAGCATTCGCCCTACAAGGGGCCTGATCACCCGAACAGGCATCATGCCCATATCATCTACTCATGATGTTATTGGACCGATTGCACGAACTGTCAAGGACGTGGCGACTACACTCACTGTAATGGCCTCGACCGGCTATGATCCAGCTGATAAGGCGACTTCCCTCATCCCCAGTTCAATCCGCATGCCTGACTATGCTTCTTCCCTTTCTAGCACTTCCCTCAAGGGCCTACGCATCGGGGTACTAAACGGTTTATTCAATCGTTCCAATTCGCCAGAAGTCACGCCCGTAAACAACGCCATGGACTTCGCTATATCACGACTAGAAGCTGAAGGAGTAACAATCGTGTCCATCAACGACACCATCTACAATGCGACCGACATTCAAGCCTCCTGGGACGTCCAACGCTTCGAGTTCCGCGAGCTAATGGACCAGTACCTCCAGCGACCATCCCTCCAAGGCAAGCATCCCAACACCCTGAACGAACTCTACTCCCGCAAATCCGTCAACGGCTCCGGTGGCGAGTTCCTCGTCATCCCAGCCGAATACGAATACGTCAACACCGCCCTCATCTCTTCAATCTCCAACAAAACATACAACGACCGCCAGTCCGGAATCCACAATCTCACCCTCACCCTTCTCAACACGTTCGCATCCAACGCCCTCGACGCAATAATCTATCCCGCACAGAAAAACCTCGTTGTGAAAATCGGCTCACCCTCGCAATCCGGACGCAATGGCATCCTAGCCGCTCTCACCGGCACACCCGTCGTCACAGTGCCAGTGGGGTTCTCAGAGCCAAGCCAGGAAGCACCAGTCGGCGTGCCGATTGGCATGGAAATCATGGGTAGACCGTGGGAAGAGCAGAAGTTGCTGGGTATTGCGTATGCGGTTGAGCAGTTGATCAGGGCGCGTAGGAGCCCCATGTGGGCGAGAGAAAATGTCGAGGTGCCTGTGTATGAGAGTGTGCCGGTTATCACGCCAGACAGGGGTAATATATCGGATGCGTATCCGCTTGGTACGTTGGGAGTGATGGGGTAGGATGCTGAATATGTTGAAAGTAGTGATGTAGGAGGAAAATGATGTGGTATCTAGAGGTGTCGATGTCAGGTAGCATGTACAGAAGTGTTTTATTATGGAAAAAAAAGGGCTTCTTGGTATATCTGTTCAGCGTGAAAAGATTTTGATCTACAAAAACCAACGAAAATATCCTTTTGTTCTAGGTTTAAAATCGCTTACGACAGATAGGAATAGCATGTGAAATGATGTATCCAACAATGTATTTGCATGTCAATACCTATCTGTATTTTCTTCTGTAGATATATTGTTTTTTTTTAAATTCTCACCTCAACTACAAATTTTACATTACGTAAATTTTGCATCTTTCCATACACTTCTCAACGATCAAAATAAATGAGGCAAAGGCAATGATCGAGAGTGTAACTCACATTTCCTGATGCTTGTCGTTCCGAAGCAATAGAAAAAAAAAATTCAAAAATGCACATGCAATCATTCTCAGCTCAGATGCATGGATATGAAGGGGTGAGGTGTGATCGATTTTGGCACAAAGGTAGCAATTGGAAATAACGGATTGTTCATTGGTATAAGCATCGTCACTAGTAGGACAGATAACCTCTCATCCCTACAAATTTACGTTTCGGCTTGTCTCAATGCACACTCCCCTCCTCTGCGCTGGCTCTGCCTAGCATCCTCCTTTTCTTCTTGTTCATTCCATGCCCCTATTCTGGTCGCTCAACACAGCCTCCTCAGAGTTCGGCCCCAACCAATGCAATTCTGGGAGGGTAAATACCGCAGTAACAGGCGTGCAAAACGTGGTGAGATCTATTGCTGTTTCCATTGGGCTGCCAGGGTCTAAGCGGGGCCCCAGGGTCTGGTGCTGATTAAATGGCTCACTGCTGTGCCACTGAGTGCGTCATCCGCCTCATTCCGGCGTGCCAGTCTCGGCGTGATGATGACGAGGCAAACACGCACTTACTGCTGAGTACTTTTGCGTTGTCTTATCGCTGGCTGCGCGAGTTAATCAAAAGATGACAAAATTCCTCCTCGGGTTTTATCGGTCGAACAGGACGACACAATCCTATCGATTACGCGGTAAAGGGCCTGTGCGCCAGTCGTAAGGCGAAACACCGTGGGTCAAGTACTACATCGAATATCAAGAGACGTCTGAAGACGTTAATCGTTTGATGTTTGCAGTTTGAAAGTTTTAGGTTTGATTTTGTCCAGATCGTAGTATCTTTCCAAGGATCCAGTGTGCAAGTTGAAGGGCTGGCATGATCATGGCGGCAACCATACGGGATATGGCATCGTGAACCTTCCATAGCACGGTCTCTTGGAGGACATCAACGTCGAGATTCCTAGCTTGATCCATTTGGTCTTCGATTTGGCGTCGCAACCTGGCAGCTTTGCTAGGTAGCTCTAAGCCCAAGGCCAGATATAGAGCAACAATAATCCATTCCATGATTACTTGCCTAGCTGTATGTTAGCCTTCGGTAACCTTAGATGGTCAATTGAAAAGAGGAGTGGAGACCGCCGTATGGCAAGAGTTGTACGTACATGCATAGTTGGAGGGTGACGCTTCCACTAATAACATTGAAACGCATGTGCTGCCAGCCGTCAAAGTCGTCGACTTCCCAGCGCTCGAAGGCGAAGCACATCATGTAGACGATGTCGACGACAAAAAACGGCAGACTGAGCACAACAGTCGTAAGGATGCGCACTTCGTCTCTGTCCGCAAGATAGAGGCGGGCAGAGATGACAATGGTTGACCAGACGAGGACAATGAAACATGCCAAGTAAAGTGTGATGCCAGCCTTGGTGCTTTCAGTAGCTGCAAAAGTGGGTCCGTCTCGTGAGTCTGGATCGATGCCACCAGCGACAATAAGAATGAAGGAAATGATGAGGGGGATATGCAATACGAGCAGAATCCATTGCATGCGACGTCCTTTAGGCCTGGTGGTGGTGTTGAGTAGGCTGCTGGTGGACATGAACAGGGGCGTCAAGCCCATGGTAGTCAGGATTGCGACGCCGCTTTCCAAGCTGGTGTTTGACGACTGTCCTATCGGGTACATGGTGGTAGCAGCCAAATCAAGCGAAACCTGGGTGAGGCGACAGATGGCCAGAATGGTGAGCCAGATCCATGGTGAGCTGCGGCCAAGGCCCTGTCGAAAGACGAGCCAGATGGATATGACGAGGTAGACGAAGAATACGACGAGGGTGGCGATGTTGACAATGGCTGGGTAGGTGATGAGCCCTACATCTCTCCCCGAGGCGGCCATCGATAGTGAGACATTGATGTTGGCTATGGACGACCGATGGATGTCGAAGGAAAGGTTGGCGTGAAGAAGGAGACGTTGACGTGAAGAGAGAGAGAGAGAGGATCTGGTCCGCGTTCCGCCAGCCGAGCGCTCCGCCTCGATGCCAAGCGCGCTATCACGTGCCCCGTGCCCGATCTTACCTACGTTGCTGTCCTGAACAATGTGACTGCCTTGGCCACGGCGCATTAATATTCCATCGGCAACACAACGCATACGCTTTATTCATCATCACAATCGGCCCTTTACCGTGATTTATTGGTGCGCGTCAGCCCTTACGCGAGGATTCACGGGGAGCCTGGCGTATCGGGTTCTAGATGGCCATCGCGCCGCCGATTGCCACCTTGCTGGCAAGCACTGCCCTGCGAAGTCGTCATTGCGCAAACAACATGCCGCTAGACCTGCCACAGCACATATACCCGCAGTTTCTCGGTATAGATAGGGGCATCTTGATATAACAAGACTGGAAAAAATTACTGCTCATAAATTCGGAATCTCGACATAATACACACACAATATAGTATACAATAGAAAACAGTTGTTGACACACCACCGTTGAACCAACGCCAGACACTCGTTAGTATGTACGCAGTAAGACCTGCTTACTCCACTCAATCCACACCTTAGGCTGCTTTGAACACCCCACCGACCCATCCATACGCCCTCGCCAATCGCTGCTGAAGACGCCTTGCCCAGAGGAACGGCATGTCGCTACTGACATGCGGTTCGTGAAACCGCATACTCTTCTCTGCACTCAGGCCATTCTTTCGTGGTACGAAACTCCTCCACGTCAATCCATGTGGTTTTTCAGCTGAGAAGCCCATGCTCCCCATTGCGTGCATGAAATCGGTCCAAGGGACCTCTCCAGGTTGATTAGGATCGGATGGTGAGTGGGAAATGGTGCCGAATGCCCTGTGAGAGCGCTTGTCCACTGCGAAGGTCTCAGGGTGCTCACCAGCTTCTTCGTGAGGGGCGGATATCGGTGTTTCAGCCTTGGACCCTAGAGCGACGTCTCTGTCAGTTTTAGACTCGACACTAGGTTCGTCGAGTGCAACATCAACAAAATCACCAGTGATTGGCTTCGAAAACTCCTGGTAGACGCTGGAAGATGGCCTGTATCGATGTACCATTGGCGGCTCAACAATTGTCACACTCTTCTTCTTCCTCTTTTTCTTGCCGGGCTCTACCCAAACAGGAGTACGCCGGATCTTCCGATTATCACGAAGCATGTGTGCGACCATGTCATGTTGCGAGTTAGCTGATTTAGACTTGTAGTGCCGGTCTACAGCTTTCCAAAGGATGTCCAGGTTAGCTTCGGATTTGCGCATTTTCTCAACGTTCTGCTTGCTCTGGCGGCGGTCCATTGGATAGTCGAATTTCCCGTCAGTTGGATCAGCATACTGATAGATTTGCGAGCCTTCGAATTTAGCGTTTAGGATTGGGAGCCATCCTTTGAAAGTCTTGTTGTATTGTTTTTGGAGTTCACGGGCCTTGAAATCCATGTCGTCTTCGATTTTACGCGCCCACGGCTGGAAAAAGTGGATTTGCTGGAGACATTCTGATACGACTGAAAGCGACGAGAGACGGCTTGCGATTCGTGGTGTAAGCAACGCAGCGACTGCAGGATCCTTTGCGGTCAAGCGTTCAATCTCATCTGTCACAGTGTGTAGGCCAAATACGAATAGTTGCTGATCGTCAAAGAGGATATCGAATAGGGACATGAGTCGGTGGACCGCATGCTCCTGACGTGGTGGACAATACGCAGACCGGATGACATCGGATTTCGAATCATAAGGCTCGCGCCTACAGAATGGACAAAGCGGTGGAGAGGCAAACAATTCAATCTTGAGGCAGTTAACAATGTCGGTTCTTGCAGCACCCAACAAGAAACGGAGATGTTGGAAAGCGCTGAGCAGGTCGACAGGTAAGTCTTCATCCGGTTTCAGTGTTGCTTTACGTTTCTCGTAGATGGTAGCGACGTTGTTGATCTGCTTCAATACTTCATCAAAGGTTGCGAACCCAAAATAAGCTTGGATCACTACGTTGCCGATTACACGGTTCCAGAATAGTGGGCGTCCTGGTTCTTTCAACAAAGGATGCTCGTTCCGCAAGATATCCAGCAGCATCTCAGGTCGATGCTCAGCTTGCTCGTGCATCATCTCGGCGAAATAGCTTGGGTCCTCGCGCAGCGACCACAAATGGTCTTCCCTCCAGTTGCGCTCCTCAGAAGCCAAGGTCTTTAGGCGCGCAAAGTCAAGGTGAGCTGGGGTTCGATAGGGAGCCTCGAAGGATTTGATCTGAAGAGATGCGATATCAAGATCCTGAGTGATAGGAGGACCGGGGTTTGGAAGAACAGGCGATTTGGTCATGGACTGAATGTCTTGCAACAAGATCTGGCAACACTTTACAAGAAAGGACCAAATACGTTCCTGGATTTCCAAAGCCTGCAACCCATGTCCAGGATGCATACCAATCCCGTTGGTCATGCTCTCAAAGGCCGCGTCGTCGTCATCCCAGGAAATGAGCTTTCCATACGACTTGGGTGTCTTTCGGTCGGCGAAAAGCATCGTGTATTCGTCCAGAAAGCCTGGCATGGTGGCACCGCTCGCCTCGCCCAGAGAAGCATGCTCCAAATCGGAACGCACAAATTCATGTGGCTGGTTCCTTCCGCGGTAGTGAAGCATAATCAGCAAGGTCTTTGTCTTGGTGAGATCTTCCAAGTTGATGTATGGCCACATGTATGCTTCCTTCATATCCGATGTTGAGTTTTTTCGCCATGCCGCAACATCTGGTCGATGCTCCGAGGACATTCCGGGCCATGCTTCCAGGAGGACTTTTCTCTTTTGACTTCTCGTTTTCTTACCCCAGCGTGTACGTATCGTCTCTTCGTGACGCTCAACAATCTTTTCGAGCAGATCGCGATATTGGAAAAGCCTCGCCGCACGCGCTCGAGCTTCTTTCTCAACATCCTTCGGAGTTAGGAAGGTTATGGGCTTGGGTATGCCCCCAGGTAGTTGTTTAAAGAAATTACGTATTTCCATCTTGTGTCTCTTATGCAAAGTCTCCAGAAGTACATTAAGGAAAATTATTAAAGGTGGGTTAAGAAATTTAAAAAAAAATTAGATGTATTTGAGAGCTCAAGTAAGAGGACTTGCGAAGCCCATATGAAAGAAAACGTTGGAGCACTTCACGTCGAGGCCCTAAAGTTTGTTTGGTGTATGAGAAGACTCATTGGTGTACTAGTCATGTGCTGGGCCTATCACATGCATAGGAGGCCTACGCTAAAACATCTAATGATGGAACGCAAGGAAGAAACGTGGACCCCTTCAATCAGTCATTACCTCATCTATGTATCTATGTCCATAGCCTCTCCAATCAGAAACCCCTCGAAATTGGGCTGCCTCAAGTCATACCGACCCTTGTCCATGACCTCATCCATGTCTCCGGGAAATTCACCAAAGTGCCGATCAGCCTCGGCAATGATTTCCATGAGCGCTGGCCTCTTGCTTTGTTCGTAGTTCAAACACCTCCTCACGAGCTGCTTGAGATCATCAGTATACGATCCAGTAGGCCTACATTCTGGACAATCATAACTGAGGACGTTTGTGTCATCATTCTGGAAAAGGTTGCGCCAATGTTGTGCAGCTAACGGGATCTTTCCGTCAAATTCCTCAAATTCCTCGTCTTGAGTGTGGGCATCGCAGCGAACTGGACCCTGATCAACTAGGCCGTTCATGATTAGTTTGTACGCAATGTTTCCAATGCCCCAAACGTCCGTCTTTTCTCCAAGTTTGATGTCATCTGAGGGGGGTTGGTTCATTTCCTAATGCAGTCAGTATGCGAATCCAACAGGGTACAATAGAGACTTACATGAGGATACCGAGTGTCGAAGGTGGGAATGAAGTCTTCTGGGAGGTCAGAAGGAGTGCAGCCATGACCCTCAGGACTGCTGAGAAAGGATATGCCAAAATCAGCAAGAATGGGCACGTATGGGGGCTCACTGCTCGTATCTGCTCTCTCCTTTGGATTGGAAATATCAAGAAGAACATTAGGTAGCTGTAAATCAAGATGCGTGATTGGCTTCCATCCGTGCAATGCGTCATCTGACAGTGTCCCCCTATGTAGCAAGAGGCAAGCCGTCGCTAGTGCTCTTATCGTGTACCAAATGAACCCCTCTGAAAGATATTCCTCCTGATTGAAATCAAAATCATCTTCGTTTCTAGTCCAGTTCTGAGCATAGTTCTTCATTGCCCTCCTCAGATCACCTCCAGGATAAAAATCCAGGTATAACCTATACCGTCTCGACTGCATCCAGAGCCGATGACCACGGGAACGGATAAGGTGGCAACACGAATCAGGCTCTATGCTTCGCCGTTCCTCCACTAACTCGTGTATCCTAATCTCGCGTGGTAATCTGTCACGCCAGTTTTTTGGGTCGCGCCATTGGCTAGCTGTGAAAGGCTTGGCTTCCTTGATCACCATTTTCTGTAACATGTCAGCTGATACGAACCCTTATCATGTCAATGCCTCAGACTCACGTCTCGAATGCAACCCGTGGTATCGGTCTGGACCCAAAGTCCTGCAGCGCCGTAACCCCCAATTCCCAGCACCTGGACGCCATGCCACTGAGATCCGTCACTTGGCAGGGGCATATGTGGTTCAGTGCTGAGCCAAGCCTCTCTTGAAGCACCATTTGCCTTGATCATGTCTATGTCATAATGCGGTAGCTTCGGTTCAGGAGACCATGGCCGCTTTGGCCAAAAGTCGTCCAGTTGTGAACTAGCGTGCTGGGTCACAGGTGCAGGCCCAGAAGGTGATAATGACGTCGTTGGTGAAGGCATTTTTCCTGTAGCTTTCGCATATGCAAGTGCCTCGGTTGTATATGGTATCACTGGGATAGGATTTGGGCTGGGTAGGCCCGGCGTAGCTGCCGCCCTTACTCCTCCAACCCACGTTAATGTATTGTAGTGATTCTGAACATTCACATTTCCAGCCCAGATTGTAGAAACTGTATGTTTTCGCTCCTCTGCAGACAGAAATTTAGCGAAAGCAGAATTGACGCACAGTGATCATCTACTTACCCACCGTCCAGTTTCGGTTAGTGTTGATGTACGCAAAGGCATCTACTTTGAAGTAAGACCGCGAATTATCGTATGGAGGAGGCATGTTTTATATTGTCTAATTGATTTTTTCTATCTATGAAAATACAAAATTTCAATTTTACCATGCGGTTCGGGTGTCAAGATATGTCCATAGTTACGAGGAGAGGGAAGGTACGCGGACAAAGACACAATCGTGACAATGCCAACAATGCACCAAGGAATATACACTACAAGAAGATGTAAACACCTAGTAGACAGTGTAATTTCCACACATATATCCTACACAATGTACAAAAGTGTCTTTATGCCACAGTGATTGCTGCCACCTCTCAGGTGTCAAAAGTAGACTCAACAGAGGTACCACGCTTATACCCATCCTGGATCGAAAGAACTTCTTTCGATAACCCGACTCCAGTCCCAGACATCAACAAAATCCTGGAAATTTCAAATAGTAACAACGGGCAACGGGAGCACACGAAACCCTGTCAAGCAGCGCCATTATAGGACCCTGCATGCTGTGGACAGCGTCAGTGAGTAACTAGGTAAAGAAAACCTTCTAGGCCCAACCCCGATGGTTCTTCTGAGGAGGGAGACTTTTTGATCAAAGCTGAATGAATAGCGGTTTCATAACGGGTTGAAAAGACGAAAAACGCGGTGAACTATGCACGGTTGTTTCATGTCCAACTCTTTAAGCAGCTAACTCGAGAACTGCACAATGGTCGCGCATTATGTGCGTAATACCCTCGATACGTTAGATAAACTAAATTCAGGGAATTGTAACGGCATAGCGCCAAAAATTTAAGTGAAGGGCCCTGTCCCATGTTTCCATCAACCAGGTTTTGCTAGCACACATTACGAGCCGAACCGCTACCTCATTACCTCAGATATTAGGTTACAATGTAACATACTGGCCGAAAATATCTGAATGAATAACATCAACTCTCTCTAAAGAGATGCGGCGGTAGCTGGTCGACTACAAGAGTCAAAACATAGTGCCACGTGGTTTACTGGCCAGTACTAGCAAACCACCACACATGTGACCACCAAACTCACCATTTCTTATTTACACGTCCAACTCCCAGCATCCCTATAATCACCCCCAACATACACATTCCTCGCCGGATACATGCAATGCCGCCTCTTAAGCTCTACACCCGCGGCTACGGTGTCATTCACAAACTTAGTGCCCTCCACACGCTCGGGCGCAGCACCCTTCTCCACCCACGCCACCAAAGCAGCAAGAAGATTATGCTGGGCATCAAACGGGATACCGGCTTGCGCGGCCCTTCCCCCCTGACCCAGCACCCAAGCCCCTGGGCCCCCAGAGCAGTGAAACATGCCTGAAATCCTGAAGAAGCGCACCCACTTGTTCATGCTGGCGTAGCTTCTTTTGCCTTGTTTACCGACACCGTCGCGTAAGTGCTCGAAGAAGCGATTCGTGTTAAAGCTGGTGAGCTGGCTGTCTTGCTGGCCGTGATACATGAGTAGTTTGCCACCGCGGGATTCAAAAGCTGACAGTGAAGATGGGTAGGTGCGGATATTGGCTGGGTTGAGGGTTTCTGCTGCGCGTGCATCGGAGAAGGTAAAGGTTGATGCGTTCCAGTTTGGGTCGCTGTATACCACGTATTTGAACCAGTCCTCTGAGTAGGAGAAAGGTGTGCCGGTATAGAGTCTGTCAGGGGCTTGCAGCTCGCTGCCGGGTTGCATGCCTGGGAAGATGAGTTCGCCAGAGGGATACGTGTAGGGACTGAATATGCGGACGAGTTGCTGTACTTGGTTCTCGTTGAGACATTTTGCTTCGATCGTGGCGTTGGCGCTGTTGCACTTCAAGGTTCGTGGGTTGAATAGACATAGCGAGGGGTCCTCGATTATCCCATCCTCTGCTCCATCGATTCCATCACATTGCCTTAGTACTTCATCGTGGATCCACGTTTTCCATGCTTGCAGTGGAATAAAATTTGGACCTGTTTTTGGACCAGTGATGGTGTAGAACAATGCACGCCATGAATAAAGATTGTTGAAATCGACGCCGGGCGCGCCGGCGAGAATACCGTCAAAGTCTCTGGGGAACTGCTCTGCGGCTTTTATACCTTGACGTCCGCCGAGTGAACAGCCTATGTAGTAGGATTTGCTATGTTTCCTTTGGTAGAAACGTTGAGCTAGCATTTTACCTGTTTCTACACTGGTGTGGAGGCTATGGGGAAAGAATATGATCAACAAGAGAGCTTTCTTAATGTGAATACTAGGAGACAGAATGCGATTACTTACGACCGCCATGCAAAATCAACTACAATCTCATGGTTATTGTAGAAGTCTTGCCCTGAAGTACCGTTGTGTCCGTTATTTGACCCAACAGTAGCGAAACCATTCTGAGTGCCATAGGCAATGTCTTCGTACTTGATGCCTTATTTTCACATTAACACTTATCAGTCTTCTCTTTGAAATAATTTCGAACTCACATCCATCCAATCCTCCATTGCCCGTTGCCAAAAACCTTCCAGACCACTGCTCAGGAAACCATGCCTCAAACGTAATCCGTGAAGTACTCGATGTCCGTATCTCAAGTGCAACACGACAAAGATCCACAGACACAACCTGGCTCGCTCGACCGCAACTCGCCACGTTATCAGGAAACGTCAAGTTCGACCCCGCAGCAACGAATTCCCGAACGTTCAGCGATGAATTCTTAACATAATACGTAGGATCGAAACTCCTACATCGTTCATAAAACCCAGAAGATGGAGCCGCAGACCCTACATCGAATAAAAATACCAGAGCAATGCCTAACACTAGCATCCGCAACCCAGCATACATCTTGAACAAAAACGAAAACCACGTGCGCCGGCAACAATCTCACCGACAAGGCACATTATATACTAAAAAGCAAGAAGACACAACATAACATGCGGATCGTTATACCCGGCGCTACTCAATTGCCTTGCTTCAAGGGCAAAAAGCGGGGCCTCGGGACGTTTTCTTTTGGTGCAGATGGAAAAAGGCAAAGTGCAGTTAGCCCCGCTCACGGAAAAAGGCAACTAGAAGGGGGGCGCGTGGACGGGTGAAATAACAAGTTCCTAATGTGGAAATCAGGTTGTTTATCGGCGGTGGCGCCGAGGTGTGGACCTGAGTGGAACGGGATGAAAACATTTCATACGATTCATTAAATAGGCTGCTTCAGCGAGACTTTAGGTAATTCCAATGGAACTACGGCACAGATGTGATTTTGGATAAGCATCAGCGAATACATAAGAATAGGTATGTACAAAACGTAAGAGTGAGAACCGGCGTTATACTCGGAGAAACGGTGATTCAGGTTCCCACAGTGGATAAGTAGTGTAACATGGAGAAGAAAAGTAGATTGCGGGGTCTCCGCACTAACCCTACTATGTACTCTACCATCATCACACGACACCGAAGATCGGATCGTGGCAAAAAAAAACTAAACGGGGCATCGGTCACAATGTAGCTTAGCGTAAATCCACAAGTCCTCGCTGTAACATCATTCCGAAGTGCCTTTTGGATGTAAAATCATATCATGTATATTTCATCGTCACTCTACTATATACTACTCGCAATAGCTTTTCTGAAGAAGCGAAAAATAAAAGGTCATGGGGGTATCCTGACATACACAAAGCACAAAACATGCGCTATAATACTACGCAGACGCCGCACGCAATGCAAACTCAACTATCTTCTTCCACCGACACTAGATGTTCCGCTCAATATCCAAAGCCCAAGAGAATCAATCAACCCATCTGACTAACATTTCCAAATCCCACTCTAGGTCTTGCACCACCTCTTACCCTGCCCCCTCGCGCTGCACTACTACTACCAGCAGCGACGCTGCCCCCAAACCCGCCTTCTCTCAACCTCCTTTCAAAACTCGTAACGCCGCCTATGCCGCCGAAACTAGTGGGTCTTGAGCTCTGCACAGGCGGAGCACTCATAGTGCCTAACCGTGAGGTTCTTTCTCGTTCGAGTATTGACGCCAAAGGTCGCCTTACAGGACTGAAGACAGGCTGCTTCTCGGGACTAGCAGGAAGTTCAGGATGCTTGGCACGGGCTAGACTGCGTTTTGAGGGTGTTTTCAGGTATCCGGGCTTGCTTGCTGTTGGTGGCATGGGAGTCCCTGTCCAGAAAGTTGATTGGGGCCCGTCTCCGAAATCGAGATCTGACTCGTCGTCCTCGATGATGGTTGCGGGTGGAGGACGCAGGACTGGCTCCAGTTGCGGGTACGTGTTTGGGCGGCGGAGTATGGAATTTAGTGGACGCGTAGAAGATGGTGTAGGCGCCTGGGTGTATGGATTAGGTGTGAGGATGGGGTGTCGTGGAGGCTGTTCTGGTGTGAGAGAAAGAGAGAGATCAAGGTCTTTGTTCAGATCCAAAGCATCCTGGTCAAAAGCCGTCCAAGCCTCCAGATACTGGGTTTCGTCACCAGACGGCCCCAAATCCCCCTGTTTCCCATGACTTCTGTTGCCCTCAGTGCTGACCGCATCGTCGCCACCTCCCCTGCTATCACCACGGTCTCTGTCATCGGCTCTCCGCGCTCTCGGTTTGTTAGGCGTCGGGCTTGCAGACCGTTCGGCAAATCGCTCTGTAGCACGCTCCGCCCAAAAGCGAACCATAGCTCTGACATGCTTTTCAAAATTTCTGTTAAATAACGCTTTTGCGTTATCTTCTTGTCTCTGGATGTTCCAGAGACGCCAGCCCATCTTCTTGAGGGCGCCTGCAGCCATAATCTCAGTGCTTTCTTGTCGGAGAGCAATGGCTTGACCCTCTAGCATGCGAATGTCATCTATGCGTTGCGACCATGTGGCCAAGCAAGCGGAGGTAATCCTGAAGGCATGTAGATTGGTGGCCTGAGCATCTTGTTGGCGAAGGATAAGCGTGCGGTCGTGCCATCGATGAATGATTTCTGCACTGGCTTGTATGGTGCGGTTCTCCAGCATGTCATTTGCTCTTTGGTTCAGTCCTACAATATGGCTTGCTTTGTCTCTCCAATGTCCAAACACCCTTCGCACGAGATTAGTCTTTACCGTTCTACGGACCTGAGAGTATGTGTCGCGTCGGCGGTTGCGACGTGCAAGTTGCGTAGCTTCGCTCCAAATCTTCAGGGTATGTTTACAAAGTACGTAGTAGTGTGCATCTGCCGACCATTGGTTCAACTGCTGGAAATGCGCTTGTCTTTCTTTGAGTTTGGCAAAGATGCGTTCTTTCAACCTTTGTTGATACTCGGCTGTTACAGCAAACTGTTCAGCTCTTCTCTCTGTAGTAATAGCTTCCATCTTGCGCAAGCTTGTCCGCAACAGCTGGGCACGCTTGAACTGAGCGAATCGCCTCTCAGCAGCGTCGAGAGTGTTGGCACGCTGATTTGTCTTTGTGACCCAAGATAAGAAAACTGTCTTCTTGATTTGTCGATCGTGAACACGCTGAAAAAGGGATACTCGAGACGCAAGAGTCCACTTGTACAAACATTCGACGAGAATGCGGTCGTTGATACGCTCTTCAAGTGCCTTGATACGCAGTTTGTCATTCCAGGTCGTGTAGGCATTACGCAGAAGTCGCATGCGATCAATGATGCGAGCTCGGCGTGATAATTTAGCATCTTTACGCCAATTCTCGAAAGTCGAGCGAAGCAAGCGAGTATTGACATGTGTCTGGAATTGGCGAAGTTTGGGTTCGAGCTGTGCTTGTTTCTGCATCGTATGAAAAGCCGTTCGAAGCAGGCTGGCTTTCCGGAAGTCATCTGCTTGAGATTGCAGGGCTTGAGCAGTATCCGATTTCTGCTGCCACGCTTTGAACGTCCTCCGCAGTACTATTCCATCCCGTCGATCAGTAGCCCATGTTTCTCTCTCTTTCATAATCTCAGTTATCTCACGCCATTTCAACAACGTAGTCCTGGCTATTTGTGTGTCGTGCCAGTTTGATGCACCTCTACTAAGGTACTCTTTGACCAAGGTATCCCATGTTCGCCGGACGATCTTGTCTTCGTTGTACGAAACCGCGAGTTGCTCAGTGCCTCGTATCGCAGCGGTGCGTGCGCGCCATATGGAAAGGAATTTCGCCAAAGCGAAATGCTGAATCTTGAGCTCGTTGACTGCTGTGATTTCGCGCCATCCATTGAAGAACTTTGTGCGCAGAATGTGCCGGCGCGCAACCGACGTGCGCTGGACCTCCTCTTCGGCACATTTCGCCCAGTGTGTAAAGGCCTTTGTGAGCAGAAATAAACTACGAGCCTTATCTGCTCTGGCTTCTAGTCGTTCAAAAAAGCGATTTGTTTCTCGGCTGGATCGCCTTACAAGCGCAGTGTCCCGCAGCTGCAAAAGAGAGGCTTTGAGCAGGGTGCGACGTTCAAATGCTGCAGCAGCCCTTTCCATATCCTCTCGCATGTTCAAACGATCTTGGGTCCGACGGCGCCATGTCCATATGCATTCTCTCGTCACCCGATGAAGTCGCTGTCGTTCAAGGGTTTCCGCATTGTCCAACAATTGCGTATCGGAGGGTCTGAACGGCTCGAAGACATATGGTCGCTGCGGTTGGGATTTTCGGCGCGCAGGTTGGTAAGGTTCATTAGGTATTGGCGCATTCACCCCAGGTATTTGGATATTGGAAAGATCGAGACTGGTGGTGTGGTCGGTGGAACTGTCTTGGTCCGTATCGTCAGTGGGCTTGTACGTCAGCGGTCCACCTCTTCTAATCTGCAAACTGCCACGACTCGAAGCAGAAGCGCTACGCTTGTGAGGGGGTCGTTGTGGACCCGAATTAGCCTGTTGAGGCGCAATTCCATTCACTCTATTGCGAATGGGAAGTCCAGCTTGGTGATACGAATGCGCCTCTGTGTCTGACGTAGCACGCTGCCTGTTAGGTCTGCCGCCATGGCCGTTCGGAGCGTGTTGCTGAGGTTGTCTATTGGGGCGTAGAGCAAGGCCACCATGGTCAGTCCCAGCAACCTTGTCAGCAGTCACATCGAGGAATGAATCGAAACTTGTTGTCCTCGGCAACCGTCCCGGCCCTGCCTGCGTTTCTCTCTGCGTCGCATCGAGCCCAGCTGCGGGTTCAATGTCGTCGCCCTCGTCGCCATACCCCACAGTGATGTCAAAATAGTCTCGGAGCATGCGCTGGAAACGACTTAGGAGATCCTCCCCCTCTCGGTCCTCGTGCTGTAGGTGGGCTAGAAAGCGGTATAGGATAGCGCTATCCCTGGGTTCTAGGTGGTTGTCCTCGACATGTTTGTCACATGCGTCAAAGAGGGCGCGTGACGTCTTATCCTGCGAATGATGCGCCTGGTATATGATGTCGTATAGAGTTTCGACGACTGCAAGAACATCAGTACGGAGAATATAAACAATGGAATAGAGGTTGCAAGTAATACCTTCGTTGGACAATTCATCCCTGGTCAGGTCCTTCGCGTCACGTCCATTTGGTGTCATGGGGGGTAGCATTCGTGCACGCGACTCGGTCGTCTCCGGCGCGTTCGCGACAACATGGAAGTAGCTGCTGAGCCCGGGAAGTGTGCGAGCAACCAAAAAGTGGTATGCGGTGCAGTCGCGTCAAAGGGAGGGATTGCGCGCAGCGACTAAGCATTACAAAATGTATTGATGCATGGGTGACGGGGTAACCCGCTGCGCCCGCCTGCGTGAGAGCAACGCGCTTTGTTGTGCGGATGGTTGGCCGCCCGTTCACACAGCGACAGTGCCAAGAGTCTAGTGCGGTGGACCCTGCCATTGACCTCATCGACAAATGGAACAAAACATCTGCAGCGCTTCACGACATCACTCATTTGACATCGCCATCTGCGACTCACATCAAGATGCCTGGACGGACTCGCCCTATTGACAAGCTCGCCACTGCGGCTGCAAAATGCTCAAAAGAAGTAAGTGTGCCACTTCATCCCCCACTTCTAGGCCCTTGCACTGTGTATTCTTTGTCATATCCTAACATTCTTTAGAGTTCATTATATGGAAAATGTATACTTGCAGACTACAATAACGTACGCAAAGATATGTGCGTTAACGAATTCATGAAACTAAAAGAGTGTTATCTTGTAAGACTATATCTGGTCGCCGAGTCATTCATATATAACTAACGATTGGTTCAGAAGGCGTACAAGCAACGGTAGAAGTCATGGGTCGGTAAACATCCTTGGTAACATATAAATTTCACAATCTCTCTTGCATTTGACTGAAACTTATTTTTGTCATTTCTTCGGCTATCTACGTTACGCTGTCATGCCACCAAAGCCCTTATTATGGACACACTAAACGATCCACAATCCCATCTGCTAAAGACATTGTGGTATTGCATGCTCCTTACAGCTTAACCAGTCGCAGCAAGAATGTTGCCTTGTGAAGCTCTTGCTCCTCCTCTGCAATCACCTTCTCGTTGCTGTTTTCGGGTATCTTGCCATCAAGCTCAGTGATGACATGCTTGTCAACATTCCTCCTCAAAGCCTTCTCAAACAGTGGTCCTTGGTTCTCGAATGCCTTCTCAAGGCCCACCCCATCAGGGTCGCTCAATACTCGGTACTCCATACCCACATCGTCAGTAGGCACTAGCCCAGCCTTCTTGCGCAAATCTTGGACACGGCGAATGACCTCTCGTGCAAGACCTTCCTGCTCAAGCTCAGGGTACGAAGCCACGTCGAGAATAATAAGGACGTCATTGTCAGTGTTAAACTCTTGGTCTTTGTTGCTCGAGTCCTGGGCGAGACCACGCTTGACCATCAAGTCTTCGGCCTCAAGCTTGATGCCATCAACCACAATCTCGCCGCTCTTTAGGTAATCCTTGATCTCTTGACTCTTGAGATTTGGCAGGGCCTTCTTGACCTTGACGGCGTCCTTCTTGAGCTTTTTGCCCAGAACGGAGAAGTCGGCTGTCGCAGAGTATTGCACGTTGTACTTCTCCTCGTCGCTCGACAGCACGATTTCTCGCACGTTCAGTTCCTCCAAGATGTAGGTCTCGAGCGACTTGATGTCGTCAAGATATTGTTGCTCTGGGTGGATGACTACCAGCGTCTTGAGCGGGATCTTGAGGCCCTTGTTCGCGCGATCTCTGCAGATACGGCCAAGTTCAATGACCGACTGCATGCGCTTGACCTGGCGCTCAACGGCTTCATCGAACAGCTCCTCACGGACCTCTGGGAATGGCAGGAAGTGTACACTACGGTTATCCTCTGCGTGCAACTCCTTGGGGATGTGCGGCAACAATCGCATGTAGATATTGTCCGTGATGAATGGTGTGAAAGGCGCGAGTCCACGGCAGAGTGTGTAGAGGACTTCGAAGAGTGTGTTGAGTGCGTGCTTTGTGTCTTCCAGACCGTATTCACCCTTCAGACGGCGACGGTTGAAGCGAATGTACCAGTTGGTCGTGTTATCAATGAGCTCGAGTAACCGCGGGACGACAGTGTACAGCCTGTATGCGGCCATCTCTTCGTTGACAAACTTCAACAGCGATTGGCATGATGCCAGGATCCACCGATCCAGAACGTTTGAGTTGGTCTTCTCGGCCGCTGGATCAAACATGAAGTCAAGATCAGCGACCTTCTTCAGGAGCGATACCTGCTGCTCGAAGAACTGGTAGCTGTTCCATAGTGGTAGCAACACCTTGGAAACAATCTCCTTGACACCTGCCTCCTTGAAGCGAAGTGTCTCGGCGCGAACGACCGGCGAATTGATGAGATACAATCGCAGAGCATCGGAGCCATAGTTGTCCATGATAAGGTTGGGATCGGGGTAGTTCTTTAGACGTTTTGACATCTTCTTGCCGTCTTCTGCAAGTACGATTCCGTTGACGACACAGTTCTTGAAAGGCAGCTTGCCAAAAAGATGCGTACCCAAGACCGTGAGAGTATAGAACCAACCGCGAGTTTGATCGAGACCCTCTGCGATAAAATCTCCAGGAAAAGACTTCTCGAACTGCTCCACATTCTCGAATGGGTAGTGCGCACTAGCGTAGGGCATAGAGCCAGACTCGAACCAACAGTCAAAGACTTCATTAGTTCTCTTGAGCACACCCCTGCCCTCCTTACTGGGAATGGTAATATGGTCGATCTTGTCACGGTGAATGTCGGTGAGTTCACCCTCGTATCCGCTAAGTTTCTTCAGCTCCTCTACACTGCCAACGCACACAACCTCTTTTCCGTCATCGCTGACCCAGATCGGGAGTGGAGTACCCCAGAAACGGTTTCTTGAAACTGCCCAGTCAGGCGAATTAGAGATCCAGTTGGCGAAGCGCTTCTCCTTGACGAACGAAGGAACCCAGTGTGAGCCTGCAATGTTCTCCAGCATCTGTGGGACAATGTCCTGGATCTTGATGAACCATGAGGGAACAGTTCGGTAAATCAAGGGAGTATCAGACCGCCAGCAGAAAGGATAGCTATGGAGAAGCTGTGAGTCTACGATCAAGCGTCCAGTGCCTTTCAGGTGCTTGATGATGCCTTTGTCTGCTGCCTTGACGTGCTGGCCCTCAAAGTCGCGAACAACTGCAGTGAAGCAGCCTTGGTCGTCGACTGGATTTGGTGGTACTCTGGTATCGGATATGACTCCGTGGGCGAGTGCGACGCGGTAATCGTCCTCTCCGTATGCGGGCGCCTGGTGAACGATACCCACACCGCTGTCAGCTGTAACATAGGTATCGTTCAAGACCTTGAAGCCGTAGTCCTTGAACTCATCGTACAGGTAGTCAAAGAGGGGCTCGTACTTCCAGCCTAGCATGTCTTTGCCCTTGAGCTTCTCAACAATCTTGAACTTGGCCTTCTTAGGGTCCTTGTAGAGTGTGCGTAGCAGGGATTCGAGGAGGACGTAGTGTTTGCCGGATGCTTCGTCGAGGATCTTGACGTATTCGAAGTCGGGGTGTGCGCAAAGACCAGTGTTGGATGGTAGTGTCCATGGAGTGGTGGTCCTGTTGTAACCATATTAGTAAATGCCCGTGGAAGCAAGCTAGGATTGCCAATGCATGAGAGTTGACGAGCAGAGTGCGAGCAGAAATACTTACCATGCTAACAAGCATGTGTTTGGGTCGTTTACGAGTGGGAAGGTGACAACGACTGCCGGGTCTTGGACATCTTTGTAATTTTGGGAAGCCTCAAAGTTACTGAGAGGCGTCGCCAACGCTGTACTATAGGGCATGACCTTGTACCCACGGTATACAGCGCCCTTGTCGAAGAGACGCTTGAACACCCACCACTCAGATTCCATGAAGTTGGTATCCATGGTTTTGTAGTCGTTGTCGAAGTCGATCCACCGCCCAAGACGGTCAATGGTAGTTCTCCATTCGGCCGCATATCTCATGACAATGGCGCGACACTTTTCGTTGTACTTTGCAATTCCAATCTCACGCACAGCATCACGTCCGGACATGCCCAATTCCTTATCGATTTCGTACTCGATGGGAACACCGTGGGTATCCCAGCCAAATCTCCGCTCAACGTAACGACCCTTCATGGACCAGTAACGCGGAATGATGTCCTTAATGGTGGACGCCAAGAGATGGCCATAATGCGGCAGTCCGGTCGCGAACGGCGGTCCATCGTAGAAGGTATATGGTTCTTTGCCTTTGGACTGGGTAGGATTAGTACCAAAAAACATCAGATATATCTGTCAAAATCTATGCAACATAGCTGTAACAAGACAAGATCACAACAGACAAGCCGACAGAGAGGCACGTGAAGTATGTTGGAAAAGGGCGCAAGAATTCGCAACCACTTACCAGCTCAACTTGCCTCAGGAAGGCGTCGATCTCCTTCCATCGCGCAAGCACGCGCTCCTCCTCGCGAGGGAAGTCAATAGACATTTTTGGTGTTGATGAGAAATGACCGTGGCGGGGAATGATTTTCTAGAGTTGACTCCTCCGAATCCCCGCCACTAGCGTGACTCACTATCGATAGAGCCCCGCCCTCGGTCTCACGCTACACGAATTGCCTGCTATAATAGCACTAAAGCATCTGAACTTCCAAGGTAGGTCTAGAACAACTATAGGATTTGTCTACATTGAAATGGGACAAATATCGAGCCAAAGAAGCGTGTTCATCTGACGGATTGAAGGATTGGTATCTCATTAAACGTGCTTTGGAATCAATTTGCCTTTGACCTCTACAATGTCCACCAAAAACCCTACATCCAGACGTCAGATATCACAAAAATGCCCCTCTTCCCAAATAATAGGAGCTAAATGATACAACAGCCATAATTCCCACTACAATACACCTCAGTAGTTGCCCCTTGTCTCCATCCCAACCCTATTAATCGGAACCATCTGGCTCGGAAATGATCAGAAAGAGTCCCATAGGACACCTGTCGTCACTCTGTTTGAACGCCAGCATAGTGTCATCAGAGCATAGCATACCGCTCCTCACTACTATTCCCTTTTGTTCCCGAGGAATCCAGCACGGCGCCGAGCTAAGAACGTAACTGTTGCCGGGACTAAACTGCTTGATGGAAATCGGGGGTGTACTACTAAGCGGAGGCTTATTTCTCCAGGTGGTGAAGGTGGGACGTGGGACCGGGCCGCGATGGGCAAAGGGATGGAACTTGAAGCGGCCTCGGCCGACCATGCGGGATATGCCTGGTGCTTGCTTGAAGTTGGGGAAGTCGAAGACGAGATTGCAGGTCTTGCCTCTGGCTCTGTCGACATCTATGGGTATGTTGAAGACGGTGCATTTGTCTCTTGCAGTTGTAGTGGCCCAGCTGTCGGGCATGAAGAATTCGGTAGGTCGTAATCGGCTGATCACAAAGACGTCTCGGGGCGCGAAGCTGGCGCCTTTTGGCAAGTCGCCATGTGGTTGGACGAAAGAGGTTGGGCATTCTTTGGGGTTTGTGATGAATGCCCGCGGTGTGAGCTCTACAGTTGAATTTTCGAATGGTATTGCGAGAGCTGTGGCCGCAAAGGCCAAAAGGATCGCGATGATTCTCATGACGGGTTGTGACTTTTCAGTAGGGGTTGGGTGACAGTTTGATCTTAAAGAGACTCGGTTGCTGTCCTAGCCAATGTAGATTCTGTCTTATAGAGTGTCATTACCTTAGGCTAGTTGGTGGGTTGCCAATATTGACATCAATGCCTCAAACTGTCTCTGCTTTGCGTTGGGTGTGCGATGGAGGAGAAATCACCAACACTCTATTCACCAGATCTCGCAGGTATACTGTGATATTCCCAGCGAGAGACATCTCTCAGAAGATGGAGTCCATGTACTGGCAATCATGCTGTAATGTATCTAAACAGAAAAGCATGCTCCCAATCGCATGACAGAACCTTGGGCGCGCAGCACAGGGTATTCGGTACCCCATATTTCCTACCAATCGTTGAGAACCTGCCGATGGCCATCAGAGCACCAATCAATTGACATCCGAAAGTTTCGAGGTAGCTGCAGCGAAAATCAAAATTGAGCGTGTTAACATGGACGTGAAGTGCAAGAACGTCCAAGTCCTCACACACATCGCAAATCTAATCTACCCGCACACATATACCAACACCCGCAAAAACAAACCCAATCTCGACACGACCGTAGCTTCCTTCCCGCCAACGCGCCAGCCGGTTCTTTACCACTGGTACGATGCACGCATCATACATAAGTGCTTACAACGGAAACCCCATTTTACATAGTAAGTAGCGGGCACCGGATCCTCAACCCAAAAACGCCAACAACGCCGCCTAATGAAACGCGAAAGGCCCAGCTGATTCCACCACCCCATCAATTTCCCGTAAGCCACAACTCTCTCTCGCGTGAGTCCTTTTTAGCCACAAAGGGCATGAAGAAGCAAAAAATAAAACACAGCTTTATGAAGCTATCAGCCTGTATAAACCTTATTCGCGACTTGTGAAGCATCCGGCCGCAACCTAGATAGATTAAAGGGAATTCAAAGCACGGTAGTTGTGCACGAAGCCAAAGAGTGAAAGGCTGAAAGAACGAAGAAAAAAAAGGCAAAGAACGACATACTGCACTTTGCGGAGCAATATCATTCCATCATGAATTCTACACCAGATGATACGAACCTCACACACACACGCATGCATGCCTAAGGCGCGCACACTTTACCGCGTGAGATCTTTCTTACTTATCCCGAAGCTTATGCACCTCCGGCTCTCTTGTATGCATAAAATACGCCCGCCACGCCATCTGACACGAGCGAGTGGAAATAATAATGCCGAATAGTCATCGGTCTCACACACACAGGCCCTTCGCTTCCCTTGCCTCACAGGAAAAGAAGAAGAAAAAAATTTGTACTTCAAGTACACAAGTCGATAGTACTAGTCAGATGTTCGTTGCATTAGCAATATCCAAATGCAGAAAACACGCACACACACACAGACACATGCGAACCATTAATATGAATAATGCGGGAAAGGCGCAGAGACCACCACACAGCCAATCTCTCTCTATTTTTGGGGGGATTTGATTGCGCCAACAAAGAAAAACGGGTACGTAGAAGGGGGGAGGTGCTTGTTTCCCCATGCTAAGACCTTGGGTGCGGAGGGATGTGTGTGAGTAATTTTGATTAAAAACGGTGGCAAAGCGGAAATGAGAGGCCGTAGGTGCATAAGGCCACCCACCTATGCGCCAGGCACAAGCAGGTTGTGCGTGTGTGACTGGGATGGTGTGTCTTCATTGGGAAACACCGGAAATTTGATGGTCTTGTGTGCAAGGGCGCTGAGTTTCCGGGTTTGGAATGGAATGGAGGGGGGGTCCGAGTGCGGAGGCCCGGGGGTCGTTCGATGGAGAAATTTCGACTGCAGTTCATAGAGGGTTTCTGGTCGTGGCTACGGCTTTCCCTTTCGTTCTGTGGTACTGGCTTCCGAACGTCGTTCTGTACGAGAGGTATTCAGTCTTCACTCATGGGAGCGGTATGATAGAAAGTTAGAATTGGTTCGGGCATTGATATAGTAATTCGAGTAGTTTTGCTAGCACTTCATAGGTGGAAATCACAAAGTATGAGTATTGGTCAGAAGAGAAAAATATTGTTTCAAGTTCAATTGCTACGAATCGACCCCAACTAATTACAATTACCCTTTGCGATACCAAGGGCGTACCTATAAGCGAAGACCTAAACCTCTATGCAATGCACTCATGTAAAGTCATAGCCTACTAAGTAGCAAGCTCGATTGAAGAAGATGACATTTACAAGAAGAAAGCAGCGAAAGCACCAACACCAGCAACGAAGCCACCGACGTTGAGAGCGGAGGCGGCACCGCTGAACTCAGGAGGAGCGGAAGGCTTGACGTAGCCACCGGTCTTGGTGGGGTATCCAGTGCCAGCGGCAGGGGGAACACCGGTACCGGCAGGGACGGATGGGTAGGGAGCACCGCCAGCTGGGCTGGATGGGTAAGGAGCAACAGGGACAGAAGGCTTGCCAGGAACGTAGGGAGAAGGAGGAACACCAGTACCGGTGGGGTAGGGGACGGTGACGGTGATGGTAGTGGAGCTCAAGCAAGAGGTGGTGTCAGGGCTGGGGACCTTGGGGGTCTCGGCAGGGTACTTGGGAGGCTGGCTCTGCTGAGGAACGGGGACCTTGGGGGTCTCAGCGGGGTAGCTCTGCTGAGGAACGGGAACCTTGGGGGTCTCGGCAGGGTAGGTAGGAGGCTGGCTCTGCTGGGGAACGGGGACCTTGGGGGTCTCAGCCGGGTACTTGGGAGGCTGGCTGGGAGTCTCCGCAGGGTAGGTGGGAGGAAGGCTGGGGGTCTCAGCCGGGTAGGTAGGAGGAAGGCTGGGGGTCTCAGCCGGGTAGGCGGGGACCGAGGTAGCGGGGTGAGGAACCTCAGTGGAGCAAGGCTCGGATGAGGGAGCGGGAGCCGGAACCTCAGGGTAGGCTGGGTAGGCGTTGTAGCTGGGGGCAGCGGCAGCGAGGCCGGCGAAGGCAGCGATGGCAATGGTGTAACGCATTTTGATTGTTGGGTATTAGAACTTGAAAAGTAAAAGATGAAGTGGTTGGTGGGAGAGGTTGGAAGAGAGTTGGCGAGATTGAATTATTAAGGATAGTATTAGGTTGAGGACAACGAATGGACGACTCGAAGGTCAGGGACTTGATGCTCGAAAGTTGGCTGTGAAGTGGAGAAGAAAAGTTGAAGGGCGAGCACTTCATCAGCTTATGTAGCAAAGGGAGATTGCAAAGCGTCGTAGCGCGGGCCGGAAACATGTGGCCACTGAAAGGGGGGGTGGACAGGACAGGCGACAGGGGCGGAGACGTCGAGGCCATGCAAGTGGTCCAGCGGATGTCAGGACTAACGCAGGTCCCAAGTGGTCCCCCGGCGCTCGGCTGGCCAGTGGCAGGGCGGACGTGCCTGATGCTAAGACGACATGGGCAGGTTGCCTGCTAATAGCGGCCGTGGCTCTCGTGTTGGCTAAATGAATCGGCGTCGAGACGCCCTGAAGCGGGAGACGAGGCGTCAATTCGCACCCGCTGGCACCCATTCGAGTCGTGCGCTGGCGCTGGCTGGCGATCGCAGCAGGGAATGCTCAGCTTGCTCAGGAGAAACGTCTTATCGGGCTGCCCGTTGAACGCAACCCCTCCACTGCTACTGCGATACGGCACTGGCTCTGGCCCTGGCTCTGGCACCAGTCTCCACGCGCCATCACCATCACCATCAACATTGCGCGCCTGGGAAAATGGCTATGACGATCCCGAAATAGTCGGCACGGCCAAGGTGTCAGCGTTGCAGAGTCTGCAGGGTGTGTCAGCGATTTTCTTTTTGTTTGCAAACACTTTTCCCACGGCGCCCTCGCAGCGGTGGACCGCGTCGTCAGCTCCTTTGGTCGTGCGCTGCACACACCCACATAGTAAGTAAATACCCACACACGTCTCACCTGTTGCTGGCGGCGATGCACTCTCCTCAGACGTGCAGCGGTGGGCGTGTGGGCGTGTGGGCGTGTGTGCACATGCATTGGCTTGTGTGTGCGTGTGTGGATGAACGGAACTGCTTCGCCGCCTTGCCAAGCCAGTGGAAATTAAGCCTTGGGGCGTCGCTGTATTTGGCCTAGCGCCACAGCTCCATCCCCCGTTCGGGTCTTACTTACTCTGTCACCGTCCCCCTCGCTGCTCCCAGCTCATCTCGGCCTCATCTTTTTCTCAACAAGGCCCAGACCACTAAAAACCCTCGCGATGCTGTCGTCGGCTGTCGTCATCGTTCCCACTGCTCGTTGCCCACCGGCATTCTTATTCCTTTGGCCTGGATCGACACTCCCCAACCAACGACGCTTGTTGTCGGCTCCCTGACCGCCTCGGATGCTCTCACAACACGTGCCCCACGCCTCCATTCAGCCAGAATATCAAAGTTAAAAATATCCCGGTTGGCCATCTGCAATAGCATCTGTGCTCGCACCCCTGCCCGTTGCATTCCACCCCCCGTCACCTACACCTACTTAATCAATGTCGATCGTATGGTTCTCCATGCCAACAGTCTGCCGTTTTAGACCTGTCACAACACCCATATCCTAGTCCTCCTTTCCAGCCAAAATCAGGCGGTCAGATGATTCACTAATGTTCAATACCGCCACTCTGCTTTATAGGTCACATCCACATAGTGATTGGTCTTTGATTATCATTATGTACCTTCATGCTGCTCCTTGACCTCAACACTGACACTATCCAATGCGTTTCCCTCGCAGCCAGCCCGTTAGCTCTTCTTACTTGACGTACTTGATTGCAATCTGCGATAGGCTAGGGATATGAGTATCAACAACTAGCTTGCCATCCTGCACCATGTTGATAATCGTAGCACCCCCCAAGTCCTCCACCCAACCAGTGCTCGTCTTGGCACTGGCATTTGTGAACACCACCTCCCCAAAGTCTGCCAGCGGCGGAAGCTTTCCTTCATCAGAAAAGTCTTCCATGACCCATTCTGCATTGTCACCAGTCAGGAAACTGTCTGGAGCCGCCGTCGCGTCTATGCTGATATCCTTGCCAGTGCTAACATTGATCAATCGAACATTCGCCGTGGTCGGCGTTGTAGTCGCTATATCCACTTGCATCACATCCCCGCCTCGAACCTCGAAATCGTCCAGATAGGTTGTCAAGTAAGGGACCCACTCGTACCATGCCGAGTATGTTACATTGCCGGATCTCTCGACCTCCCAGTCAACACCAGCCTGTAGCATGGACCCATAGGTATAATTACTAATACCCACCCATGCGGACCCCTTTTCTGTGTCGTTCGAGGTGCAAGTGTGCTTAGGTATCGGAATTGTAAAACGCCCCGTGACAGACACAAAATTACCCGCACAAAGCTTTTTGAAGATAATGGCACCCGACCAGGTTCCATCAGTGACTACCCGGTGTTCTTTATCTGTATCCCTAGCGACGGATCTGCTGCACCGTATCCCCAAGGCTGTGCTGTCTTCGACAAAGGGCTGTGGCAAGTACTGATGGTTTCCATGGACCCGAGCCTGTACACCCTCGGCCAGGACTGAGCTAGTAAGGGCAACGACGAAAGCAATAAAGAGTTTCATAGTGTGGCAGTACTAAGCCTGGTAAAGCTGGAAAGATGGACGAGATATTTGCTTTCCATCGTGGGACTTTTGGCCATCATATTGTATCTTTTGAGGTCTGCCGAGCTTGAATTTAGCCTCGCCTTTGTGGCTTACTCGATGCGTTATACGCTGCCGTCATGCATTGTATCTTGTTATCTTACCGCCGAGGCACCGAAACCACTACATTGAGATGGTGATTTTTTGACTACCAAATCAATCATTTCGATTTGGATTATTGGGTTATCGGTGGTGACGGCGTGCCTACTTTTGGAGAGAGATTTGTACTTCTTGAGGAAACAACAGTGATCGTCCATGTGTGTAGGAAAAGCAAAAAAGAAAACACTCAATGTTGGCATGAGGGGTATGATTCTTTGAATAAGGTTTCGGAGGTGGCTCCCAAAAACAACTTGGCTGGACGGAATGGTTTATTGAATTCGCATTTATGGTGTTGTGCACAGTCAAATCGTGGGCAACGCAAGAACAACGGCACATTGACAGAGATGTGTGACGATGGTACTCTATCCCTTTACTACTAGAGCAGCGAGGAACCAGAGCCCATCGGTTAACATCCATACTTACTACATGTCTCCAGGACTGTCAGATTCCTAGTATATTTCTTTTGCCGCTTAGAGCCAGTTGCATCTCGGCAACAGTTACACAGGCGCTTCGGAGAAGCTTCGACCGGCACTTGTACAAACAAACTCGGAACCGTGCGGAAAGAACAGTGCCGTGCTGCGATAACGAGACTTGGAGTAGAACTAGTACGTAAGTACACCACCTACACTACGCGATCAGTGCGCGATGAGCGGGAGGCCCCTCCTGAAGCGTCCTTGATCAACAGGGGCTGCCCCACAACTTGCCTTGTGCGTCTCACACACCCGTTGACATTTGATTTTTGTCTTACCCAACAGCTCGCCTCACAACACAAGCAAATCCTCTCTTCCATATCTGAAGCCCTGTTCCCTCCCTACGCTTCTCCGCTGACATCACGTTTGACACAACTAACTGACACTACAGGCATCACCAAAGTTTCGTTGACCAAACGATCATCGCCCGCCTTGAAACAACGACTTCGTACCTCCACTCTCGGCCCACCCACCACCATTACGTTGCATTCAACCTGCGCTTGGAATCCGTAGTGTCAGTCCGTCGAGATCTCATGTTTCCAAATACCCAGATTCGACGTATCGGAATCTCACTCGGCCCTTGCTGATCTCATCTGAGCATGGCGATCACCGGGCGCATCCACCTTTTATTATTACTATCTACATTGGACGAGTGCGTAATCCCAGGGGTTTCCAAGAGCCATCCACGGATCAATTGCCAAAAAGCATTCCCCTGAGTTCAGATCCCGATGACGTCACCAGCGTTCCAGCCTAGAGAATCACACCTAGGAATACCTCTCACAATCCATGGGCAGACAAGACTCGAGGTATGGATACACTATCCCGGGATATCCCCACCATCAAGCGGATACATGGAGATCTTCCAAACATTCCCATTGATCATACCCTGTGCCAGTGGCTAGTCGCACAACCCGATTGACTTCTAAGGCTCGACCTTGCGCACCCAGCGTACCCATTCAACTAAAACAAGCCAAGGAAACAAATTGCGATTGGCAAACCTGGGATCCATTAAGGACTTTGAGAAGCGCCATGTGGCATGGAGAGCCTGCAGTTTCCAGCCATTTTCTTTCTTTTGCCATGACTTGACTCCTAGTCATCCTGGATCCAGTGAAGCCCCCGGACCGATCTTCTTTTTTTCTCTCTCTCTCTTTGGCCGGCCGCGTGCTATTTCTAGGATCCCTAAGATACTACTCTGAGATCTACCTTACTCGCCAGTTGGAAGGACGTCCTATCAGAAGCAAGTTTGTGCCGTGTGAAATGGTCCTGCTGACATCAGCAGCTCCACGTCCAAGTCCAATGGAACCCAATCGTTGACGAGGGCATTACTACTCGCAGGGACATGCCAGATTCTAGATGGGAGCCGAAAAAAATAGCCCTCCATGTTTTCTCTTGAAGATGTAATCTCCACAGCCTGGTGCCGGTTCCTGTCCCCCTTTCCTACCATCTTCCAGGATCCCCACCTATATGACGCGCGGCCGCGGTATGCCGGATGAAATGAGAAAAAAAATATCTATATTAGCCAGAATCTTACAGCTGCTATGTATATCTTTAGGTTTCAAGAGACCTTTGCTTTGAGGCTACAACTGTTAATCGGAAACGCCCCCTTCACACAGTGAACATGTTGTGACCTTAGGACCCAAAGGCGTACCCAACCAGACTTTCATTTACCCATACACCTCGGCTGCTGTTTCTCTGCACATGTAAAACACTTGTTTCGGAACTGTAACCAAAGGACTTCTGAATCATCTTTCCCCGGGTATCTTTTCATGCAATATGCAAACTCACACGTCCTCCCCCCAACGCTCTAAGGAAACAGCACGGGAGACATACTAGTCGAGCATCGTAAATTTCTGTAACTGACAGTTTCCCCACGATATACCCTATATTACGTTCCAAACGGCATGGCCAGCGAGGAAAAGCATGTACACGTATATATATATATCCCCGGTGTCGCAACTTCCGTCGCCAACGGCAAACGAAACCGTTCAAGTGCTCCATCAGAGATGCCCATCGCAATCGGACTTTGTTATATGAGACAAACGACGTGTGTCGTGTTCCATCATCCAAACCCCACACAAGTAGATAGTGAGAAGAAGAAAGAACACAAAGACGTCATCCAAAACAAAAGCATTTCATATATCCCAACTGTTCCATACACACACATAACCCAACTTTCTGCCCTTCTTACTTCGATACATACATAGTTACATACATGCATACATTCCCATTGCCCCCCCGCTCCCACCCCCCATCCCACCAAAAAAAAGAGAACAGGAAGGGGGAAGGGGGGGAGCGCCTAAAACTTCTCACTCTCTCTCCCCAACGACGACCCAAAAAAATGCCCCGCTCAAAAAAAAACGCCATGCTAATACACACATACACACACACATACATATGGCGAACACGCATACATCTCTCCTTTCTCTCCTTATACCCTCGGGACAAAGAACCGAGACTTGAAAAAAAGAAAGAAAAAGAAAAACGAATCCGACGCAACCGGTCTCGCATCTGCCCTCCTACCCCCTTCCGTCCGTCCAGCCCTTACGTCATACAATCAATAAGACCGTCAAAAAAAAGAAGAAAAAGAAGAAAGAAGGAAACAACCGTTGAAACGCCTCCCTTCCTCAATTCCTGTTACAAAACAAGAAAGAGAGAGAGAGTTGTTGCTTCCAAAACACACACACACACTCAAAACATCTTGCCCTGTTCTACTACCAGGTTTTGCTTATCGCCCATTTCAAACCTACTAAGCTTTCATCTTGCCCAGGAAACCGTCAAGATCAAACTCTTCATCGTACTGCTTCTCATCCCAGAGATCACCGAGTTCATCCAAGAAGCCCTTTTTACCCTTTTCTCGCAGCGCGCCCGTGGCATCAACGGCGTCGTTTTCGTCGATGCCGGTGCCGTCGTCTTTAGCGTTGGAAGGTGGTGCAGGCAGAGCAGAGGGATCGTTGGAATCGGCAGATACGTTGAAGAGATCGAGGATTTGATCTGTTTGCATCGACTGGAGACCAGCGTTTTGCTGGTTGACGACCGTCGAGGCGACGTCGATTTTGAAGCGTTGGAGGCTGTTCACGAGGGTTAGCGTTTTGTGACCATGTGGTATCAGGAAAAAAAAAGGTAAAATACGTACTTTAGGATCTTCTCCTCCAGGGTACCGCGCGTAACAATGCGGTAGACGTTGACTACCTTCTTTTGACCAATACGATGCGCGCGGTCCATGGCTTGGATATCCTTTTGCGGGTTCCAGTCGTGCTCGACGAAGATGACGGTGTCGGCACCAGTCAGATTGAGACCGAGACCACCGACACTAGTGGTAAGAAGCAAGACGTCGTAAGATGGATCTGTGTTGAACTTGTTGACGATTTCTTGTCGCTTGGTGGCTTCAACACCACCGTCCAGGCGCATAAACTGAACAGATGGCAACAACTTCTCGAGCACATTGTGCTGCACCATATCGAGCATCTCCTTCATTTGACAGAAGACGAGGGCGCGATGCTGGGAGACGGCTTCGGGTAAGTCGCCGTTCGCATTCGCTGACTTATCGCTGACAACGTCTGATGCTCCGATACCACAATCGACAAGCAGATCCTTGAGAGCCCCGAGCTTGGGTGCGTGCGCAATATCGTCAATCGTAGTGTTGTGCTTTTTGAGGTACTGTTGAGTTGACTCGTACGCCTTGTTGGTGGGGCCCTTGACAACAAGCGAAGGCGAGTTGCAAAGTTTCTTCATGTACTGCAAAGCCTGGAAGATGTGTTGCTTGCTCTCACGATCGGCATTGCCAGCCTTGGACTGGATTTCCTTGCCTTGACGCTTGGTGAAGTCGTCAAAGAGGTTGCGCTGCAGCTCGGAAAGATCACAATAGTAGTTCTGTAGAATCTTGGGTGGTAGATCATCCAGAACCTCTTCCTTGAGACGACGAAGAAGGAAGGGCAGCACTTGCTTGTGAAGAGCCTCAATAGCCAAAGCACCCCGTTCTTGCTCCTTTGACGAACTCTTCGCAAACCGAGATGCAGCAATGGGTTTGGCAAAACGCTCCTGGAAAACCTTTTCGGTACCAAGGAAACCTGGCATGAGGAAGTCGAACAAGGACCACAGCTCAAGAACGTTGTTTTGAATTGGCGTTCCGGAGAGGATGAGGCGGTGATTCGATTGGAACTGCTTGACAGCTTGGCTTGTCTTTGATTTTGAGTTCTTGATCAAGTGTCCTTCGTCTAGGACGCAGTAGTTCCAGTTGATGGGCTTGAGGATATCGGCGTCGTTGCGGCAAATGTCGTAGGAAGTAATGACAATGTCTACTTTGTCAAGCTCGTTCCTGTACTGACTTCGGATGGGTGGCGAGCCTACGTAAGC